TGCCTGTAAACATAACGCCAGAGCACAGAAGGCACAGACACTTCCCTGTGCCTCTTCACTGCCATGTGCTCTGTGTGCATGTACCTGTGAATGTTGAATCCTGGCCCACTTAAGTCAAGGGGAGATTTATCATCAGTTTCAGTGGAGAGACACTGTGCATAAAAAAGTAGAAAATTTAAATGTAAAATGTAAAGCTATTCGGTGTAGAGAAATGAAGTAGAAGAGCTCAATCCCACAACCTTTACTAACTGCCCTGTTTGCAATGTGGCCACTCCCAGGACAGAGATATGAAGAACAGTGTCCCAAAGCTTTTAGGCTGTGAGTCAGGCACATATTTCCAACATCCAGTAACATATCAGGCATCTACTAACTCACTCTGGTCTATAGTCCAGAAAGGGTTTGAGCCATGCCTGCATCATGTAATGGTACAGTGGAGCTTGTTAAGCAGTATCACAGCAAATGGAAGGTGCGACTCTGCAAGGAACGGGACATGCTCCAGAAGCCCCATATAACAGGTAGGCATTGATAGTAGGCCTGTGTGAAGCAGCAAGTATTTGCTTCGGATTCAGATACGGGCTATTCGGATGGACAGTGATTTGAATCACTATCCCAATTCGATTCAGCCGATTTAGATCTAGAGATTTAGCCATAGACTATACAGGCAGCAGTACTTGATGATGGTAGACACTGCTGCCTCCAGCTGGTAAGTCTGTTGCGGGACTCAGGGAGTGGGGCTCCCGCCACTGTGCACCACTGGTCCGGGAGGGCATGAGAGCGGGTGTGTGCCCCCGGATCTGCACGGGGCAGGCTGAGCCGAGCTGCACTCTGGATGGGTGGCGGAAGGTGCTGGGAGTGGGGGCTATGCCCTACCGCTGTTCACCCAGCCAGGGTGGGGAGGCGTGAGATGGTGCTGTATCGTGGATACACCTGGATCGTGGCTGGGCCAGCGGCAGGGGCAATGGGGAATTTTAGGATGGCTGCAGCCCCACCCATAGCCCCTGCTCCACTGCACTCTGCAGGGCGGGTGGAGCTGCGGCTGCGCTCCGGGCCGGGGCTGGGGCTGGGGCTAGCCACCCAGAGCGCAGCCCTAGCTCTGCCCATCCCAAGGAGTGCAGCCTGGCAGCAGGTGACTTGGGCTACCCACCCAGAGTGCAGCCCTGGCTCCACCCACCCCATGAAGTGCAGCCGGCGGTGGGTGGCTGGGGATAGCCCCCCCGAGAGCCGCCCCGCGCCG